CTGTGATGATCCCTTAAAGGCAACAAACTTTCTGTAATTCCCTAATGTCCTTAAGCTGTGATAGTTCATGATGACAAACTAGCTCCCTCAACAGCTGGGCCAGCACTGCTCCACTATTGTCTTGTACCATGTACTAGGCAAATGCAATAAAAAATCCAAAACCCCAATAAAGATAAGTAAAAGCCTGCCTTTCCAAGTATACAAGGGTTTTTCTCCACATTTATAAAGTAATATTTTGTATTGTTTTTAACGTTTTATCAGTGTGTAGATAACTACACAGGCCAATCAAATTTTGATGTATAAAAATGATAATATTACATGCTCTTATTTTTCTTGCAGTTAGCTGGGGATTGCACAATCTATGATTGCAAGGGAGTGCGACCTCAATTTTCTATTAAATATTCCATTATGCTCATCCTATTTCATTAAAAAAAATTTCTCACATAAGATGGTACATGTGATCACTCACCATACAAAGGGAGGCATAAGAATATGGCATAACAGCAACAAAATGAAAGCTAGTAGGGAGACCTGAGTGATAGCCTTGGCTCTTAGAAAGTAAGCATTACCTCAGATGCATTGCTTAATCTCTCTAAACCTTCTTTGTATTCAACAGCATATTGAAGGCAACGGATCAGATGCTATTGGAGATTTGCATCTCTAAAATTTTATGACTTATTAAAAGTTTACTGCATGCAAATCACTTGCTAGGACTTATAAATACACAAGACAAATACATACTACAGGTCCCAAGCATTCGAAGAGTTTACTGATATTTAAATACAGCTTTTATTTTTAGAAGGTGCAAAATCTTTGATGAAAACTTTATTAAATATACAAAAAAATCTGAATGTGCTCTGAAAATTCTGACTTGACTACTTTTATGTCCTTTGAATAAGTTGTTTTTAATTCTAGAGATGTTAAAATTTTGAATGCAAGAAGCCCAGCGTTAGAAGAACTGGCTTTTTGAGTCAGCTACACCTGGGATGAGATCCTACGTTTTTCACGAACTGCAATGTTACTGTGAATAAGGGATAGATAGCTTCTCTTCCAGATGTTCTTCTCATCTGCAGAACGGGGATAACCATCCCTATTTTCTTGAGCTTCTGTGTGTCTAGATGAGCACACTGTGACTTGCATACTAGCACAGGGCAGGAAGCATTCAATGAGAGGGCTCTATTGAGAAACTCCGTCTCATACTGCTAGGTAATTGTTAAGGGCTAAAAGCAAAGAAAAAACCCCTGTAACGTACTGTTTCTATACTAAAATTATGAAGAAGCAATTCTTGTTTAACCCTAATCCTATTCTCCAGAAATAAGTGGGAAGGAAATAGTTAGTTTTAAATGGCATTATCCCAGTTTAAGTTTTACGGGGAATCACATTAGTTAAAAAAAATTACTTCTCATTTACCATCAGCTAAAGGTACTACTCACCCTCTGTGAGTACAACTGTGCTTTCCTGCCTCTGGTCTTTGCATGTCCTTCCTCCTCCCTTCTTCCCCTCAAAATCACGCAAAGGAAAAATGCAAATGGAACTCTTCTCTGCTTGTCTTCTTGTTACCCAGCTATGATTCATCCCACTAGGCCCCCACGTCCACCTCATCTACTCCTTGTCCCCTTTGTATCATGGTTATCTTTAGACAGAACTTATCTTTTTCTCTTCCACAGAGATGGAACCTTTGTTTAATTTCATTTTATAACTAATAACTTCCTTTTCATATATTAGGTGCTCCAAAGTTCTTGCTTAATAAAGACAGTTTAAAATTTGGCAAAATATCTGGAAACAGTAGAAAACAACCATTCCTATTCTGACATTAGATATAAAATTGTAAGTGCATCTCCAGAGTTTTAGAGCTCTGAGCCGTCATCTTTAATTGGGGATGTGGGTACACGGGAGAGAAGCAAAAACCAACTCTGCTGTTATTTGTGTTCAGAATGAGGCCTAAGCTAGCTGCCCCTCTCTGAGATCCGTCCTTATAAACTCATGAGAATGGGAATAAAGTGGGAAACGTTTCCTACAGTGGTGGGTTTTTTTTCTTTTCTTCTTTCCACTTTTTCAATAAACGTGAACTGAAATTTTAAAAAGCACTAGCCTAACATAAAAGCTTCTTCATGCAGCAAGCTTAACATCGCAGACAGAAGCGAGGCAGCTGAGCAGGGTTATTGTGTACACAGTAAATCAGGCACAACAAGGGGCAGCACAGCAGGGCACCAGGAGGGTAAGATGCACACTTAACCCTCTGCACACGCCGCTGCTCCGTCTCTCCCCGCCTCAGTCTCAGCAGCTTCTACTACTGTTTCATGGATGTAACAGGCATTTTCAATCTAAATCCTGTTATAGATTAATAAGCAAACATTTTCCCGCTTATTATGCAATTGATCATGATGAAAATTACATTGGACTCCTCAGGGCTACATGCTGATACATTCATTTATTCAGAGCTATGTATAGAAAGTCATACTAATCTTCATGACAGAAAGGATGTAATAGCAAGATTTAAATTACCTATGGAAAACTGTAGTATTTGTGACTGTGGGCATACTACATGCAGTTTACTACATTAAGTGCATCTTTATTTTGTTTGTACAAGCTGAATGTAAATTTATTTAAAAACAATAAAAATAGTAAAATAAAAATAAAATAAAATAAAAACTATCACTTCTCCTCCAAGGTAACAAAACAGAGTATATGCTATTGAAATTGTTTTTAGATTAGATCTGAAAATAAGCTACACAATTAGATCAAAGCAAAATTTGGGACAACCAAACATGTTAGATGGGGACTGCCCAAGATGAACCAGACGAGCTGTGGTCACAGCAGCAGCAGCATGGTCTCACTGGAGGGCACAAGTGGCCGCTGCAGTCAGGGGAAGCCAAAGGTTGAAAATGTGCTTTGGAGCTTTGCATAAAGGCCCACTGCCTTGCACTCTTGGCACAAATTCATGGGCTCACATTTTCTCCTAATCGTTATAGCTAACTAGGAACCATCCAGCCTCCCATATCCAGAAACTATCCTAGCTGCCATTCTCTGAACTTCTCATTCTAGAAATGGGACAGCTCTTGATCTGTTGAGCACCAGGACCATAACAATGACATCACCATGAACACTAGCACCACACATAACGTCCATTTAACCTCTTAAGATGTGCTAAGTGCACTTTGCAAATATAAACTTGTTTAACATCCATCAAAGAGACAGATACTTCTGGCAAACATAAGGTCCTGAGTTCGATCACTAGTACCAAAAAAAAAAAAAAAAGGAGAGGAGAGAGAGAGACAGATACTCCAGCCCCAAGCGTACAGGTAGGGAGACAGAGAGACACAGAAGTAAAGAAGTAACTATTAGGAAGCAGGATGGCCTTAAAGGAGGTAAGAGGGGCGGCTGCTGCCTAGATTTGAAATGATCACTCTCTTTCCAATCAGTTTTGGGGATATGGACAGGGAATGCGCAGTCTGTAGGCAAAGCCACAACTTGCCACTTTACCCCTCAGTTGCTTTTGTGGTCTCCACCACCTGAGCACAGAGCCATCAGCAAAAAGACCACAGCCCCAAGCACGCTGGGGCCCAAGGAACTGAGGGGTATGAGAATGACAACTGTGAAGACAAAAGTACAGAACTGTAGTTTTTTAAAAGGTTAATAATAACTGAATGTCACTTGTTTGGAAAATCAGAGTTGATCACATTTTCGTAAAGGGAGACATCATGGGACAGTTAAAAAGGTTCTACTATCTCATAACCCTCAGTGACTGTATGTCAACAACAACAAAAACTTATGAGAAGGATGAGGAGAAAATGCAACTCTCACACATTGCTGGTGGGCATGTGAAATGGCATAGCCACTGTGGAAAACCATTTGATTGCTCCTCGTTCCCCTAAATATCATTTCATTTACCATATGACCCAGTCATTTCCCTCTCAGACAGGAATGAAAACAGGTGGTCAGATACTTATACAAAGCTGTTCACAGCAGTTCTAGTCACAATAACCAACAGACACAGACAATCCATACGTCAACTAAGAGATAAAGAAGATGTAGTATCACCAAGGCATGCCATGTTAGCCTTAAAAAGAAATAAAGCAATGATATGGATGTATTATGTAAACACCAGGTAAGGACAGAAGTTAGTCACAAAAAACCATAGTCGCATGATTCCATGTATGTGAAATATCCGGAATAGGCATACTCATAGACAGCAGATTCATGATTCCTAGGGCTATGGGGAAGCAAAATGGAGAAAGCCTGCTTATGAATATGGGGTGTCTATTAGAAGTGACCACAGTTGGAGATTAGGTAGTAGTAATGCTTGTGCAACATTGTGAATGTATTAGTGCTACTGAATTACGTAAATACTTAAGAGAGATATAGTGGCAAATTTTTTTATTATGTATATTATACAAAAAAAAAAAGACTATCCTAGGTATCAGGAGACTGACTTCTTAAGCCAACACTAACCTCTGCCTCTACTGCCACCAGCAGCCCTGTCATTTTCCATCATGTCTAGCCAATTGGTTCCATTTGTATTCTCATTTATTTCATCTTAGCAATACCCTCTGCTTCTCTTCCTCCTCCATTACCCTGTCATCTCTGCTTCCTTGGCTCACTGAAACCTCCTTATGACTGGAATTTTACTGTAAGCAACTGAAACCCCAATAAAGTTGACTTAAAAATTAATAAAAGTGTGCAGCAATATTTTCTCAAACTATTTGGCCATGTATTCAATTAGTAAAACATTTCTGATGTTAGCTAGTAATATCTCCAGGTACAATAAACATGATTTGAAAACTGTGTCACACATTATTCACTGGGTCAGGGCTAAATCTCAATTGTGTCAAATTATAGAACATACTTCCTTTCATTTTTCCTAACAAAAATTTCATATAATGGAATGATACCTATTTTTTGTTTATGAAACACAAATTTATAAAACCTAATCAATAATCTCCAACAAAGGCAGACAGAGAGAGAACAGTGACAAATTAAATTCCCTGGAAATCACATACTTGGCAAGCTGCTTCTCAGCATCAGCACAAAGTTCAAGAAGCCCCATCAGCACGGCGGACACATCCATGTAAGGCTCCCACACCGTGAACCCTCGCCCGATCAGGTCAATGGCCGTTCTCCGGATAGTGCTGTGTGCAGGAAGCTTGGGACTTGGCGGCTGTAGCAGAAGGAATGTCAATGCCTTGCCTAAAATTACAAAATAGAAGGCAGAACAGTAAAGTAAGTACACTTTTGTGAATTTTTGAAGCATACTTTCAAAATATAAACAATTTATATTTCTTCAAAACTATAAAAAATCTTGAGTTTTTCTTATTTGTTTAGACAGGCACTTTCAAGAGAAAAAAATTTATTTATTTATTTATTTATTTATTTATTTATTTTTTTGGTTTTTCTCCGGTACCGGGAACTGAACTCACGACCTTGCGCTTGCCAGGCAGGCGCTTTTGCCGCTGAGCTAAATCCCCAGCC